TTTAATTTTCAACAACCGTTTAATTTCCTACAAAAAAGACATGAAAATGAATGAATAATTTCTGCTGTTTTCTGTTCTCTTCCAGGAAACTGTCCGACCTCCAGACCAACGACAGACTCAACAACAGTCAGGACCATCCTGTCTGTGCTGATTGCTGTCATAGGTCTGTCAACTTCTTCCTCCTCTTCTGTTTCTTTTCCATAACCGTGTCCGTCAGTTAACAGTTCTGGGTTCGACTCCTGTGCAGTGGTCCTGTGTGTGCTGCTGTTGGTGGTGTGCGTCCTGGTGCTGCAGCACAGACGGAAACACAACAACAAAGCCGTGACGCCCGGCCCTGCGACTGAGGACACGTCACAACAAGACGGTGCATCCAGTTACCACGAGTGTCCACCGGACTTGTCCAACAACGGGGCCCTAGTCATGTCCCAGAGCAGGTTGTTCTATGGAGTCCGAGCTAAATCTGCGGACGCCATTCTGGTATCGTCCTCCTGTCCTGCTGTTGGACACGTGGAAGTCATTTTACAGGATGAGACCAAGAATCAGGCGGACGGAGGAGACGAGGACACAGGTGGAGAGACTGTGGAGAGAAAAGGACGTCAGACTGAAGGTTCAAACGACGTGATGCAGGAGAACAGCTCCCCCCTACAGGCAGACACTGGTATCGCTGACACTGTCACTTATCTGAGCATCGGTACCAATCCTGAAAACATCGATGAAAAATCACCGACCACCGACGGTTTGGGTCAAAGGTCAGGAAAGGGAAAAGTCATGCAAAGGATCTCCACGTGGCCTTTGACCGCGGCACAGTGGCAGAGAAGATGTAAAGAGAAGGAGAAGGAGGAGGAGAGGAGTGAGGAGGAGACGTCTCCTGATGAAGGAGAGAAAGAAGAAATCGTGAAGCCTCAGAGAGAAGCCTCAAACCACGATGGTACAAACAAGATATCAAGGCACAATCTGTCATCAAAACTAGATCACATGACGGCGTCTTCCAGGGCGACTCGGACCAAGGCTAACATCGAACGAGACGATTTCACCACTGCCAGATGGACGTCACAAAAAAGTCCAACTGACGGCGTCAAAGCAACTGACAAATCTGCACAAAAGATGAAAGGCCAGCGAAGAGAACAAGGACGAGCGGAGTTGTCGGAAAACAGAAGCGTTAACTCTAAGGCTCCCTCTAGTGGTGGTGCGTCACCCGATGATCGGACGCTGTTGAGTGGCAATGAGTACGCCTTCATGGACCTGCTGCACGAGGTGGTGCAGAACAGAGGCCGCTGGACCAGAGAAAGGTGGAGGCAGATGCATTCCAACCAGCAGAAGCGCTGAAAGCATCATTCACAGAGAAGCCAATTACACTAATGAATTAACAGCAGTAATGTGTTACCGTGACCACCTTCAAATTAAATATTGATGTCTTTCCACAGTTACAAACGAAATAAAAAATTATTTTTTTTCCGATTTTTGAAATGAAAATTATGATCTCCACTATAAAAATGAATGAACAACAAGATCAAGGATAAATGTCCAAATGTTTGTATCTGTAGTACACACGTAGATATGTATACAGTGGTCCCTCTCCTATTGCGGTAGTTACGTTCCAATACCCACTGTGAAATGTGAAAAATCACGCAAAGGCGAGATAGTTATTATATTATTTACGTTTATATTTACCCTTTACAAACTCCACCACACTGTTATCAAGCCCCCCCCCCCAGGACAGTAGAGTTGTATAATGATGATGCAGAGTGAAGTCAAAATGCAAACTTTTCATGTCAATTTTGGTCAACATCTAATAAATGTTGACAAAAAGTTTTGTAAAATTATTTTTCAAAATTGTATCTTTTCCTGCACATTTCTCATAAAATTAGGGCATTTAGAGAATATTTTTTGAAAATTCTTTTAAACAACATTTTCTGTCAAAATGTGAACTTGTCAGTTTTGATCAAAATCTAATAAATCTGGATGAAAAGTTTTGTAAAATTATTTTTCAAAATTGTATCTTTGTCTGCATGTTTCTCACCAAATTAGGGCATTTAGAAATCATTTTTTGAAATTTTGAAATAAAAATGTGAACTTTTCACATCATTTTTGGTGAAATTCTAATAAGGTTTTTTTTTAATTATTTATCAAAAAACATTTTGGGAAAAAAAGAATCAACATTTTATCTTTTCTGCGTGTTTCTCTTCAAAATTTCAAAAGTTTTGGAAAAAAAATTGAAAAAAATACTTTTTTGATAAAAAATTTTTTGGATTATTTTCAGCAAAACCCTAATTTTAGTTTTGAAAAGTTTTCTTTGTGTTTCTCATCAAAATATAGTTTTTAGAAAAAGAATTATTGCAAAACTTTTTTTGGGGAATTTTACGGCAAATCCCTAAATAAAAACATTTCTTACCATCTGACTGATTTTCATGAAATTTCAAAAGGTGTTTACAAAAATTCGGACCGCACAAGGGTTATGGTGACGTTTAATGCTCTCAGTTAACCTCCCCGTTGTCCTTCGCATTTTTGTACACACCATTTGTCCTTGCAATGATTTTCCTCTTGTCCCAGAATATGAGTATTAATGAATATGAGGAAAAGTTGGCACTCACACAAAGACATATTGTGTCTAAGTGACCCCCGGGTCACCTAAATGGCATGTGCAAACTGAGGCCCAGGGGCTCGATGCGGCCTTTTTTAGCTTTTTTATCCGTCCAAACCTTTCAAAGTTATATAATTTATTTATATTATCATTATACTTCTTCCTTTCCCTGTAATACCCACATATTATCTGCTCTTGACCCCGCCCCCCGTTTGATTTTAGGACACATTACGAGTCAAAAAATGTGCCCACACCTGCCTTTAGAAGTGAGCAGAAATAAAAACACTGTTTCATTCATAAAGCGACTGCATGCAGCATTTATTTTTTTTCATGTTTTGAATGCTGAGAAGGATTCTCACTCATTCTTCACATAAGAAATTGTACAAAATGTCAACTTTTTTTTTTTTACGACAATAACTTCAAATTATAAAGCAGAGGTAAACATAGTACAGAGGCATTTGGTACACACCAAGACCACATGCATGTTCCATTCATATAAATACAGTATCAAATAACTCCAACTTGCAAGCAGTTGTTTCAACTATGGTGTTTTTTTTCCAGGTTGTTGCAGGAAACGTCAGATTAAATGAAAACAAACAAAAATAATAATAATTCTGTGCAAGCTTGTATATCAAAACATGCTTTATAGTGTTGTCATGCCCTGTAAATCACTAGGAGTAGGGAGGTGGACCGAGGAAGACGTTAAAGAGACACTTTAGGTTCATTTTAAATCAAGAGGCCATGAAGGCACCGGCATGCACGTTCGTGTTGAGTTCAATCACCCAAGTCCCCAGAGACAGGTGTACTTACTAGTTACCCTCAGTATTTAGAGTACAAATAAAAGTATACCAGAGTACCAGAATCACATGCTTTAAACTCTTGGAAGTTTTTACACCAGGAGAAATTCAACCCACAATCATCAAATTTAATAGTCTACATTTTCAGATTTTTTACGTTAATATTTTTGTCTACGTTTTTAACGTCCATCCCTGGAAGTCATCGCCAGTGGGACCACATACCTGGGTCTGGATGACGAAAATCTTTTTACCAAACTGAGGTTCTGGTTCTCTGTATTTTCTATTACGTTTGGCCTTCGTGTAGAAAATGAAAGCAGGTTAAAAATACCCGTCACCTTCTCAGTCCTAAACCCTGTCATGCAGCCTCATTTAAAAAACCAAAAAACTTGAACTACTCCTTTAATCCTCTCCTCTCCAACTCCTGTCTCTCTCTAAACCAACCATCTGTGGTTAAACGATGAGCCGTGAGCCACGGTTTTGAACTTTGCAAATCTATATGTGAAAGAATTTTTTTTTTGTTCAATCCATACACATCAAAGGCATCACTGAAAAAGATCAATGCAAATAAAATGAACATAACGGCACAGAATAATAACAATAAATAAATATGATATAATTCATGTCCTCACTTCACTGGTATGTCTTTGAATCGTGTCCTCCGCGCCATCACACACACTAACATTAAAGGGTCAAACTGTTCTGCTCTCAAACCCCCCCCCCCCCCCCCCCCTCCCCCCCCCACACACAGCTAGTTCATGTCCTCGTTCACGTAAAGATTACGTGGGAAATACCGACAGTTCAAATGAAGAAGAAGAAGAAGAAGAAGAAGAAGAAGAAGAAGAAGAAGAAGACGCTGCACTGTGTCCTTTAACATTACATTCCGGAAAAGACAGCGCTTCCATCTCAGCTTAAACATGTCCTTATGTATCAGACAAAGGCCAAGGGGTCACAGACGTCAGTATTTGTGCTAAACAGTTATGCTACCACTGAACTGAAAAGTTTGCATCAACGAGATAACAAAATGAAACATTTGATAAACTTCTTCAAAAACAAAAAACACCACATATCTCCACCAGAGGGAGACATAGCACGGATTTTAATTTTAAAAAAACTTCAGTTTCACTGTTATATTCCTGATACATGAATAAAACATAACTAAATTTGTACATAAAAATTTGAAAAATGACTGGAGCCAATCCGAGCAGATATTACACTCTGGCCAATCACCATCAACTATTCACATTCACAAATATTAACCTGACAACTAATCCATGTCCATACAGAAAGACTGGGAATTGAACCATTGAACTAATGTAGTGACCTTTTTGCTGTAAGGCAGTGGTTCTCAATTATTTTCTATCATTGTCTGTACAAACCACTGTATGAGTTGCTGCCACCTAGTGACTGGAGGCTTCTTATCATTCAACCATCAACCACATTCCAGTGTGCCATATGGCATTGGAAGCCCCTCATGCACCACCTCCACTCCCGTGCCCCCCACAGGGGGGCCGCCCCACTATTTGAGAAGCACTGTCATAAGGCAACAGCACTAAACGCTCAATGTTTTAAAAAATAACCGATTTGTATTTAGTATCTTTGTCTGGAATGTGGTCTACGTTCAGGTTTTAGTTTCACAGATGCGTCAGTCAGTCAGGCTCTCTCCCTTCAATAAACAATTATATTAAACATTATAAAGGTGCTTTGGATAAAATGGCACATACAGCTTTGACTCTTTAAATAACACTTTGTCATTTTAAATAAAATATAAGTATTACAAGAGGAAATATTAATTTCAAAAACACAAATAAACACAACAATAATCCTCCCGTCACAGTCTGAATGCACACGTGGCAATAAAACGTTTGTGCAAGTGCAAAAACTAAAATATAAATGGGTTAAAAAATAAATTAAATCACGTGCTGCAGCTACAGAGGTAAATGCACAGTTACATGCCAGTAATAAGATGCTAGTAATACAATTACTAAACTGAGAATAATATCTTTTAAAAAAAGCTGCTTTTAAACGTAATGCTACAACTGAAAGAAAGAGAAAAAAATTAACTTCATGTTTGATTTTTCACCATCTCTCCTGAACAGATTTTGGACCAATATGGATTTCTCCTCAGGGTCAAGTGGTTCAAAGCACTCCCTCTTCACCAGTTGCCATGTAAACTCATCACTCCTGAGCAACATTTTCGGAGTGATTTCTTACAACTGATGGTTGAGAATTACAAGAAAACAAAAAACATACAAACAAACAAACAAACAAACTGACCACAGACTGTCGGACCTTTGGTTGAGCGGACGACGTCAGCGCCCCTTTTCTGGTTTCATCTGGATGGACACAAGGGGAGTGTGTGATTGTACAGTGAGTGGGTGGAGGGAGAGAGAGGGAGTCTGTGACGAGGCACTCTTCATGCATCCCCTATATCTGCGGTAACTCCACCTCTTCAAATATCCACTTGTTCCGCTCGGATACAAGATCATTAGTGTGACAGCGAAGAAGAAGAAACTTCAGAGGTGAGTCTCGCCCCTCGTGTTTGTACCGAACTCCTGCTGGTTCTTGGTTCCACGCTCCTGCGTTGTCACCTGTGCGTCCTCCGGCATGTGTGCCAGCGGGTCGGGCCGGATGATGTAGCTGCGGAGAAGAGTCGGGAATAAAGAGAAGCTTGGAGGGGTGGGGGGGGGAGGACGTAAAATAATTAATCAAGTTTCTATAACAACGCATTTTCGAACTAAAAAAAAAAGTTTGGCTGGAACTGCCATATGATCTTTGACCACAAGAGGGCACCATTTAGACTTGTGACAACTAACTTTGCTACTAGGACACTGGAAAATGACAACTAAACTACAAACCTCTGTAAGGACGCAAAATGCTGAATTAAAAAATAAATAAAGAATTCGTTAAACAGAGTATTGCGCCACCCAGAGGTCAGTCATAAAAAATAAAAAAATGTTCCCATTGTTTAGTAAGTACTTTCAGGTAAATGATAAATCTACTGGAGAATGTTGAATCCACCCCTCTATCATCAGGCTGACACTCATGGCAGCACTTTTAACTTAGTAAGCAATGAAAGTGTCAAACTGACAGACGGCTTCTGTCCACTGACGTCTGCAGGATCTACTGTGAGTCTTACACAATGTCGTTGAGCTTCAGCCTGGTGTCGGGCGGAGGATTGATGAGGACGTAGGACAGCGTGTTCTGATGGTCGTTCATCTCATCTATTAAAAAAAAAAAAAGAAAAGACAATGAACATCTGCAGTGTCTCTCTCACCTCGGCCTCCATCAGCAGGAGACCGGCGCCCACTGAGCCTCTGTCCACCAGTGTGGCTGGGATGAAAGAAACTCTCACCATAAACGTCTTAACTAGACCTTGTTTTTTTTTTTCTTAGCCTACTTCGGTTTGTCATTTTAAATCAGTGGTTCTCAGACCTTCTCTGCAGCGTCCCCTTTTACTGGAAAGATACAATTATAAAAAAAAAAATTTAAAATGTATTATTCAATGCAATCCTCAGCAAAACTAAAGAATTTATATTTTTCCTCTTTACTACCACCATGTCCCCAAGTGAGGCCCCACACCACATTTTGGAAACCACTGTTTTGAATAGAGAGCAGTTCAAAGTAAGGCTTTTGTGACCTCATCCATATTTGGTATGTAACTGTCACCCCTAATACCCACTAGCCCACACAAACACAACGAATGCTTTAAGACAGTGGTTCCCAAAGTGCGGGGCGCAGTACTCAAACAAGTTTTCAAATATATATATATATATATGTATACAAATGACAAATATATAAATATTTACAAATATTTTCCATAGTCATGTGAAGGAGTAGGTACAGTGTTATGATTATATTTGTTAAGCACCTCAAAAACATCGATCAGAACACTGTGAAAAATAATTTACGAGGCAAAAAAAGTCAATGTTCTTTCATAATAATGTTCATAATGTTCAGTGTGTTTTTGAAGGAATCTCGTGAAGATGGTGGTCATGTCTACAGTGCTGCTGCAGAAGAATTTTGGGAACCACTTGTGGTAAGGCAAGAACACTAACCACTGTTCCACTGTTTGGCCCTGATAGAGTCAACACTTTTCCTCTGACAAACAACATTAGAGTGCTTTTTAAATGTTTTTGTAAAATCAGTTTACTAACATGGATGAACCTCTCTGATGGAAACATTAATCAGCATGTGTATGTGTGTGTGTGTGTGTTTGAGTGACTGCTCTACAGTGATCCCAAACTTTGTGAAGCCTGATGGACAGAGGACGAAACGACCCACCTTCGAGCGGCCCTTTAAAAAGCCAGGCAGGGTGAAAGAGAGAGAAGGGCTGACAGTTACTGACAGAGCACTTTGTAGGAGGGCAGGATGGGGGAGGTGGGAGGGGGGAGGGGGGAGATTCATGCTGCCCACCAACTCAAACAGGACTCCATGCGCAGCTTCAGAAACCAGGGCTAACATGCAGACATCGTCCGCGGCTACGCAACATTACGATTTCCCATCGCATTCCTTGTTATCACATTTCACACTGGACCAACGGTGTTTCCTGAAGGCAACATTGCGCCATGCCAACGGACCGGGAACCCCCGGACACAGACGACATGCGCCAGCATCTGTCAGACTGGACCAAATACACAGCAACTCAAACCAAACACGGTGAAGCGGAACATGTTGGGAGTGCGAGAGTGAAAGGAGGAGAACCTGCTGCTCTGACATCACAGTGAAAGGGGGTCGGGGAGAGGAGGAAAGAGGGGGAAGGATAGTTTTATTCTCTTATGTCTCCTCTGTTCAAATGAGTCGGAAATAGAAGGTTAAAATCCCGGTGAAAAACGAAAAAGAAACTGAGGGAACATGGCCGCTTGAGCTGGGCCAACGGTGTCAAATTATACAGGGATATCTGTAATAATTTTTGGAATTACCGGAAAGAACTTTGGGATTTTGAGCATTCCAAAAGTCAAGTCTTAAAATCTCAGCCTTCATACAGTCTGGGAGACTAACCTTAGACTTAGAGGCAGGAAGTAAGTGACAACAAAAACCAAATGATTAGCTGTGAATCTGCCTCAGTGGATATTAATCCAGGTCAGTAACATTAAGGTTATGATAGTAGCACAGGTGGGACCAAGTCATTGCTTTGCAAGTCACAATTAAGTCTCAAGTCTTTGCACTCAAGTCCGAGTCAAGTCTCAAGTCATGACAGGCAAAGTCTGAGTCGAGTCCAAGTCAAGACTGAAAAGTGTCAAGTCAAGTCCCAAGTCCTGCCGTTTCTGTTTCGAGTCCTTTTGCGTTTGTTTTCTTTTTTGTTGACCACCTCGTAGTTTTTAAATCTGAACAACACGATCTTTGGTATCATTTTCTCTCACGTGTTGTTTGACGGCTCTTCCCCATCGGCTGTCCCGCAATTTGATTGACTCGATGCTCGATCGCATCAGAACATGGGTCTAATTTGATTGGATGTTGTGCCGACAGCACATACACACACAGACGCACACACGTACGCGATGAGAAATACAGAGCGCTTCTTAATAACTTACTTTATAATCTTTGGGTATGGGAGAAAGTATCAAGTCTTGTCCAGTCAAAGGGCTCAAGTCTCAAGTCATAAGTCACTGATGTTAAAGTCCAAGTCGAGTTCCAAGTCTCTTTACATTTTGTCAAGTCGAGTCTAAAGTCAGCAAATTGATGAAGTCACACGACTCGAGTCCACACCTCTGGATAGTAGAAATAATAATGACATGTATTTTCACAGACACGGGGGCCAATCGGGGCTAAAAGAACAAATAATTTTTTTTTTCCCAATGATTAATTAATCTCATCTTCCACCCACGGACGTAACATGTTCGGCTCCACTCTTCAAAGCCAGACTACAGCGCCCCTGCTGGAAATTAAGTGTTTGTCACGTTCAAGGATCACAATGCAGGAAAATAAACAGGTAGCATGAGAGAGAGAGAGAGAGAGAGAGAGAGAGAGAGCTGGTGTAGTGTTGACTGTCGCGCACACACACAGACGCACGTCGGTATTATTCACACACTGTACACACACAGTCATGCAGTTGAAGTTGCAGTACTGTGGTCAACAAGCTAACCTGACAGTCTGGTCCTCTCTGTGTATGGATGCTCTGAAATGTCCTGCAACTCTAAGCAACGGCATTCACTGTTTAGTTCCTAGTGTGATCAACATGAATAATTTACCATAAAAAGAGGAGTGAGAGTGTGAGGAGGACGAACATCTATACATGAGTACCTTAATGGATCTCCAGTGTTTGCGGGACATCATGGTGGGACAATTCAACATTTGGCCACAGGGTGAATGAATGTCAGGAAATGGACTTAAAACAGGCATGCCCAAACTGTTCCTCAAAGGGCCGTGTGGCTGCAGGTTTTTGTTCCAATCAACCAAGAGCACATAGTTTGACCAATCAGCTGTCTGAAGACTGAGACCAGTTGATTGAACCTGTCCACTCAGGTGTGCTACTGCTTGATTGGAACAAAAACATGCAGCCACAGCGGCCCTTCGTGGAACAGTTTGGGTAACCCTGACTTAAAAAGTAGAAACAACAAAACAACAAAACAAACAAAAATTACCTTGCAAATATCCTAGATTTACCCGATTCATGACATCACTCGCAGTGAGATTTGAAACATCCTCTACAAACCAAAAGCAGGGGGAGATAGAAGAAGAGTTGGGGGGGAGAGGCAGGAGGAAGAAAAAAAGTGAGAAAGAGGAAGAAAAGGCAGAAGAACAAAAACAATCAGGCAGGCGACAAATGCTTCAGCAGACTAAGAACAGAACTCTGTAGGAACAGGTGACGCAAAGAAGCCATGCATTAGAGCAGTGTTTCCCAACCTTTTCTGAGCCGCGGCACATATATATCATCAGGACAAACCCCACGGCACACCACTGAACAAACATCTCAAAAAGTATATGTAATTAAATATAAGAATATTCTAGTTTAAATGTACTAAAAAAATTTACTCCTGTTTAGTTGAAGACAACGCTAATATACTGGCAGGAATTGAAGAAAGACACAAAGATCTTCTTCAACAGCTCTGATGATCTTTTCTTAGTTTTAATAAACATCTGCTGCCATCTAGTGGAAGAGGATTTCATTGCTCTTTAAATACTAGTTTTGGGACATTGGACAATTTTCCACGGAACACCTAGTGATCTCCCGTGGCAAGCACAGTGGTTGGGAATCACCGCGCCAGAAGAAAAATGTGCGCAGAATCACTTCCAAATGATTTGAATCTGTCACAATGTTGCAACAGTCCTCACTCAGATGGTTCTCGAGGTCTTGAGCTCTCGTGGCTCTTCCTGAAAAGTATTTAATCGACATGTTACAACATGTTACACATGGTGCATGATTCTGCATTTGACTTAAGAAAAAAAGAAAAAAAGAAAAAAAAGGACAAAATGATAAAAAATAAATACCTTAATACAAGCATTATGCTAGGTGGAGCAAAGAACAAAACAGACAAATATGCAGCTGTAGCATCAACGCAGGGAAACGGCAGTTTGATGAAGAGCAGAAATGAACTCGTTTTCATGCACCGTGTGTTTTGCGTCCAGACGTTGGCCTGACAATGATCTGAGAGTGTAGCTGCGGTGGGATGTGGTGGAGGCGTTTGATGTTTGTGAGACTGATGTGAGGAAAAATGCTGATTATGGTTAGGATAATGATGATGATGATGATGAGGAGGAGGAGTAGGAGGAGCACAGAAACAGTCCTAACAGACAGTGATGTGAGACTAAAACCAAAATAATTCAGACAGAAAATGAAGTCAATGTGTGGAGCCTAAAATGACTTATTTGAGAGGTTTTCACCACTTTTGTATTTTATTTTTTTAAGTAAGTAGACGGACTATGACATCAAGGAAGGACTTACTGTGAAATGAATATTAATTAATAATTAATAAAACACCTAAAGACTAATCTTTGCTCTGAATACGCTAATGTTTCTTCTCAGTTTATCTACGCAAACTCAAGGCCTGCGGGCAAATTGAGGCTTGCCAAGTCAGTCATTTTATGTGGCCCACCAGAGCTTTGTCTACAGTCTAGTGGTATGCGAGGAAAATTCACATTTTTACATTTAGATTTTCAACTGAATAAATCTGACACATACCATGCACAATTAATACAACATTTAGGAACAAATGTGTAGCTAGTTGTGAGATTACGAAGTTCAGGATATGAATATAAATAAATAATATTAAATATATGATATACTGTTCTTCTACTTCTCTGCATGAAAACAGAGAATAAAATATTGACTTTAATAAGGTTGTGATTATACTGGTGCGGCCCACTTGACATCTGAACATGTGATATGCGGCCCGTGAACCAAAACCAGTTTGACAGCCTTGATGTAGACCTGGCATGGGCAAACTAAGGCCCGGGGGCCGGATGCTGCCTGTTCAGCTTTTTAATCTGGCCCACCAAACTTTTCCAAATGATATAATTTATTATTATTTATTATTATACTATAATTATTTCCCCAATAGATGGACAAAAGCATGTTTGCATTTTAGCCTTTATGCATGACTTTTACATGTCATTCATCTTAGTTCACATGAACGATCCATCTATCTGCTCCTGACCCCGCCCTCCCTGTACAATTTAAGGACAATTGTGGCCCACGAGTCAAAAAGTTTGACCACCCTTGATGTAGAATGAACAACGACAATGAGGAACTCTGACCCCTGTGTGGTAATGTGACATCATGGAACATCAACATTGCCTGACGGAGCCAGTACATGAACATAGGCACAGCAGAACACAGAAGTTTGTGGATGAATGTTGTGATCATCAGCCCTGGAACTGATACTTGGAACAACATGATCAGTCTTCACCCTCTAACGACAGCCAACAATGTTTGGACGGCGTAACATTTAATGAGGCCCAGACTCAAACGTCATGCAAATGTAATGACTTGCACAAACGATAACGCACCTGGAAAATTCTAACGAAATTGAATCACTTTAAAGGATCATGGAACTATTTATGAAACGGCACTTACAGTACAGCCTTTGTTGTTCTCGTTCATTTTCCAAACGACTGCTCTACTCACCATATCCAATAGTGGGCAGACCAAGGTGTTTCATACGGTTCTTGACCAGCTCCGACAGCTCCTGACGTTCAGAGCGCCTGTACAGGTTGAGCCTCTGCTGCGAGATGTGTTCGGTTCGACTGGGCTGCTTCACGTTCTTTCTGCTCAGGCGGCGCGCCCACTGCATGCTCTTCTTCCTCAGCAGCGGGTGTTCTGATTCGACACTGGCGGTGGAGTTCTTGTCGTCCATCTTATTCTTACAGTTCTTTCGCTCCATGTTAATGGACACCTGAGACTGCAAAACGACGAGCTAATTAGAAAAACAGCGTCTTTATATGTGAACGTCTGTGGTGTGATGAGCCCTGACTTCAGGAAAACTTCATGTTGGATGAATGAAAATTTTGGAAATCAAGTGTTGGAAAAAAAAATACAAAGACCTTTTGTCAATAATAAACTGTGGAAAGAAAATTGCAAAATGAACTTAAAATTACTTATTCGTCTATTTTTGTCTAAAAAAAAACCCCAGAAAAATGAAAATAACAGCATTTAAAGCAAACAAAATTATTAAAAGCTTTAAAAGCTGAAAATGGCAATTTTACTTATTAATGCTTTTTGAAACTGTATGTAACATAGGTATATCTTTGCACTGATGCCCAAGGTGTGCAAAATGTGTGTGCAAAGGGTTACACCTTTGCACACTTTCTAGAAAACCCCAAAACAATTGCCATTTGGGAGAAATGAATAAAGATAAAAGCAAAAAATAACAAAAGAATAAAAAATGAAAGCAAACTTTTGACCAAGAAATGAAAGGACCTCAAAGTCAGTGCAGAGAAAGATCAGAAAAGTCCAAGCAGCAGCAAAACCCAAACCAACGGTCTCCTCAATGACAATTGAGCTTGAACTTGCCTCTGAGGACGGAAACATGTGAGACTCAGTGCGGTAAATCCCGATTGGAATCTCAGCGCTGGACGAACACAATTTCTGGAAGAGTCGGCCGTATGTCCTGATCCACAGATCCTCCTCCGTGATCTTCATCTAAGAGACAAATATATACATATATATACATATATATATATATACATACATATATATATATACATACATATATGTGTACACACCAGTACTGCCACCAGAGGGAGACTGTGGACTTACAACAGAGAGGTATCCAGAGCCTGGTGTGGTGTCTAGACCCAGGAGAAGCCTCGTGATAGCGATCATATAGTCTTTGACGAAGGACTGAAATAAAACAGAAGGAGAAGAAAAAAAAACCATCACCCACATCATTTACACATGTGATCAGAACCAACCAATCGTAGCCACTAATTCAACAATCAGGTGTACAGTATGTCCCACCTGGTAAAGCAGTGTATCCAACATGCTGATGCTGAAAACCCTGCCTGCAGCGAACGGCAGCCGGAACATGAAGGCCAGGTTGGAGCCCTTGTCACGTTCTATCTGTAAAACAGATTTTGGAGAAACATAGCGAAGATGAGCTGTGAACTAAATATAATAATATTCTAGTTTAAATTTACTAAAAAAATGTGCTTCTGTTAAGTTGAAGACAACGCTGATATACTGGCAGGAATTGAAGAAAGACACAAAGATCTTCTTCAACAGCTCTGCTGATCTTTTCTTAGTTTTAATAACCATCTGCTGCCATCTAGTGGAAAAGGATTTCATTGCTCTTTGACAAACAAAAATGATTTGCTATAAATACTAGTTTTGGGACATTGGATAATTTTCCACGGCACACCTAATGGTCACTAGCACACTGTGAACTCTCCAGTGAACTCTTCTATTGATGATACGAAAAAATATATTGCTAACGTTTTGTTACAATGTTTGGCATTGTCAACATTGTCTAAATTTTGTTATAGATAAAAATATCAGTTAGTTCCATGACAACACAGTGGTTCTCAAACTGTGGCACGTGTATCACTAATGGAACCACAGTACATAAAATCCAAATTTCGGGTGTCATGTTGGTCAGAAGATGAAAAATCTTGATGAAAACTTAAAAAAAAAAATCAAAACTTTAACTTTTGTGTTTTTCATAAAAATTAGAGCATTTTGAAAAATGTATGTTGACTTTTTCTGTGTTAAATCATATTTTTGCATGTGATGTTGGTCGGAAGAAATTATTGAATTAAAGATTTTCTCCAAATGTTCTAATTCAGTGGTTCTCAAACTGTGGTACACGAGCGCTCTCTAGTGGTACGCGGGAAAAATTCATTTTTTTTACATTCACATTTTCAACTGAATAAATCTGAAACATACCATGGACAATTAATACAACATTTAAACATAAACATCTTTCTAAACATTTATAAACATCTCTCCTGTGGTGGAAGCTAACAGTGAAGGCCTATGCTGCTATATTCTAATGTTGGTCATCATGGTGGTACTCAGAGAGATCAATGTTTTCTCAGGTGGTACAGAGAAGAAAAAGTTTGAGAAATGCTAAATTAGAGGATCATATTTAATTATATTATTATAATATTATTTAAGACATGAGACCCAGAGAGTCACCGCACAGTTAAAGCACAAACCTTCTCCAGTTTGGAAAGAGCCAGTGAGTAGCAGTCCTTGGCCCGGAACTGCATGAACCTCATGTTGGACGGATGTGTGAGCTCTGTGATGATGCTGAGGCTGGGGAACAATCTGAGGGGCAGGGGAGATACAGAGAAAAAAGAAATGGAGCTGCTGGAAACATGTGATGGTTTGTGTACTGTAACCTACAGTACAGCAGCTGCAGCAGTGATGGATGCCTTCAATTCTAAGGCCTAAATGGAGGAGGCACTGCAGAGCTTTGGAAAAGTCTGAGACCCATAGGAAAAACCACCTTCATTACCTGAACATGGTCTGGACGTTGACGATGGTCTTGGCATCCGCCATGTAGTCCTCCTTGGCGCTCATGGTGCTCTCTTTATCCACGACCACCAGGTTGTCAGCGTAGATGATGCCGCACTGCAGCAGGTTGTCCAGACTGATGCAGTAAACACACAGAGTCGCAGAGTAAAAAAAAAATCATCATCTGAGGAGTTCAATAAAAACTTCATTTACGAGCGTGATTCACACTGCATTATTTACACCACCGGTCTAGACAGAATCTAGGGCAGATATTTGAAAAGATGAAAAAAGGCGGAGGAAATCTACGTGCACGCTCACGCCAGCTAAATTTGCAAACATCTCGTTAGCGTCCCATGTCATGTAGCCAACAGATATTTCACAACATATTCATCTTTTTGTACTTTTTTCTACTATATTCTGCACAGTCCAACACCTACTGCTCTTTTGTAATGGGTTCGTGTGCAATCACATACTTATCAATAGTGCCGGCCATGAAGTACACCATTGGAAAACAGCAAATGGCCTCTAAGAAATGGTTGTCTGGCCTGTGGAGACAGAGGAAACACAATCAAGTCACAGTAACTACCTCCTTGAAACCTGAGTGAAACTTATTACACTCTCGTTGTATTTTTCCAGGGAGGTCTCGTGGCTCGGAGTGGCGTGGGTAAAATTAAGCTCTGTTAAATGAAAGCCGCAGTGAGAAAGAGAAAACAGAACAAATTGGGGAAAACAAATAAGAATGTGTTTTTAATGCGTAACATTTATTATTCTTTTATACTGATAAAAACTCTAAACTCGCTGGCTTTGTGTTTCGTGTTTTAAATCAGACTCTCCAGCTTGCTGTCCCCGTCAGCAGAGCAGCAACTTGCCACTGTACTGTAGTAACAGATCTGACCAGATGGTGGAACATGGAAATTAGCTTCACCAGATGGGTTGACAACCAAAGTACAAAATCAGGGTCGTAGAGGATAGTGATAACTGTGACCTTCTTATTCCTAACGTCATGTTAACATTATAGTGGATAAAATCAGATTATTTGTAATATTAGGGAAAAAAACTGCTCAGATTAAAAAATTGTTTTAATCTGCGAAAACAACTGTAACAAACGTACGGGTAATCCAGCAGCAGAACTATGGGATTGAGCTCCTTCCTGGGCCGGTAGTAGGCCCGCAGTGGGACAATGAAGTTGTAGAGGCCGTTGCCTGCCGTCTCTGCCGAAACTATGATCAGCTTGTTCTTGAAGCCGTAGGCCTTGGCATCTTCGAAGCTGTTGTGTGTGCATCTCTGAGTGGAAGAAGCGGACGATGCATCAGCTCATAAAAATCATCACTCACTTTTAACATGTCAAGCAGGCTAAAACTCTAGCTCAAATCTGCCGCACGGTAAAATTTACCTTGTCCAGACGAAGGCAGCAGAACGGAGCTTTCTGTGGTGCCAGGTGGCAGAGTGTGGGCGAGCTGCCTATGTAGGGTGAGTTCGGAGGGTAGCCCTTCACAAAGCTAATGGAACAAGAGCAAGGAAAATATCACAAGTGAGTGGTATAATGTGGTGATTCCCAACCACTGTTGTGCCGTGAGAGATCATTAGGTGTGCCGCGGAAAATGATCCGTTTTCACTTAATTGGTCCCAAAACTATCATTTACTCATTGCAAATATTTTTTCTTAGGTCGTCAAGGCATGACAAGTAGAGCCTCTTCCACAAGGTGGCAGCAGATGGTTATTAAAACTAAAAAAAGTAATCAGAGCTGTTGAATATCTTTGTGAGTATCTTTGTTAAATTCCTGACTGTATATCAACGTTTTCTTCAACTAAACAGGAGTAAATTTTTAGTCAATTTAAAGTGGGATATTATTATATTGTGGCGCTTTGGCCCAGAGGCAATGTCTTTGTCATTGGTGTGGAACCCCAGGGTTCACCTCCTGGGCAAGTTCGAATCCCGGTTAGGGCGGTTAATACCTTCCAGTGGACTCTCCACCTGCAGGAAGGTTTAGGGGGGTTGGTACGGTGCAGTGTGATTTGGGTGGAGACTGCTGCCCCCGCGACCCGGTAACGGATAAGCGGATGAAACCGTGGGGTTTTTCCTGATGTTATATGTGCCGTGGCTGAAAAAAATGTTGGGAAACACTGGTATAACGCAGAGAGAACGTCTCTGTTCTGAAGCCAGTTTCTGGAAGTTTCTTTCTGCTCTTGTATCATTACTCTTTCTAGTATAGTATCAGGAATGACAAAAAGAATCAGAAGCACTATATAAAAACTGGAGAAAGTACATGTAAAATACTATGAGGTAGAACTAGTATATGTATGCTTTTTTAAATATATTTTTAAAAAGTGCTATTTTGCTTGATGCTACAATTTTTGCCAACTTTAAACATCAAAGAGTATCTTTTACTTCTATATAAACTTTAAATACAGGATTAAACTATTTTAAAAAAGTCTTTTCTATTCATCACTGCCACAGGGTGGCACTGTTGAACCTTGCCTCCAAATCGCTGAATGGTTTCTGACAGTGACTAACGTCCCAGTCAAACAGATGCTACAGTCAGTCTGAATCCTGACTCCGTAACTCACCGTAATGAAACAAAAAAAAAAAAAACAGCGACAGAAATGGAATGAGAAAAAAAGAGCAAGGATTAAGTGATTTGTTGCACTGGCTAAAGCATCAGGACGACAGTTTGTGTGACACGGGGGACGGATGAGAGCGAAGGGGTGAGGATTTACGCGGGGGACTCTCGGTGTTCACCTCACCCAGGAGGCAAAAGTGCTGACAGCCCCCCTGGTACGTCACGCACATTCATCACTGACACCTCTGTTCCCTGTGGCATCTTGACAAACAGTTCACGCTCCGATTCCAAACCCATTCGTCTTTTGTCTCACCCCCGGTGAGGCGTGGAGAGGAGGTAGGGGTGAGTCAGTGAGATCAATCAAGTGTATGGTACAGGTCACATGCACTATGAGGACGTTTCACTGCCTTTACTGTCCCGTCACCAGACATACAGCGCGTCGTAAATCTCTCAAGACTCTCATCATCGTCGCGGTTACTCACTCTGATCCCACCGAGCTCTCTTCATCGGACTGGTTGGTCTCGTCCTCGGACTGGTCACTGAGGAGGTCGCAGGGCAGAATGGCGGAGGAGTCGGCGATCTCCAGAACCGGCCCGATGCTGGGTCTGCGGCTCTCCCCGCCGTTCTCTGTCGGCAGGGTCAGCTTGTTGCATTCCTCGGGAGGATCGGGGTTCTGCAGGTCAATGGCTACTGTGCCTGAAAGAACCAGAATGTTAATGTAAACCAGTGCAGCAACCCATTTGGTTGAAATAACTATTCTCTAGCGCCCCCTTAGAAAAAAACAAAAACAAAACATCAATGCAGCTATCCCGCTCTGAGGGGTCACGCCCCCCACTTTGGGAACCACCTCTGCAGACAATCACTTAAGGGTAATGCTAGATATTAAAAAAATGTCATGTTCAACTGAGAAAGATGCATGATACACCCACCTCGTATTAGAGCATTGTTTCCCAAAGACTGGGTCACGACCCACAGGTGGGCCGCAAGAGATTTTTGGGTCGTCTCGCATCACGTTTCCCAGGAGTTTACGAATATTGAAGTCTATTGACTTGGGTCGCAAAGGTTTGTGACTTTTAAAATATAAGTCCCCAGAAAACAAGTTTGGGAAACACTTCATTAGAGCTTTTTTTTTTTTTTTAAACAACACTATGTGAATTGCTTCATGTACTTAAAGCCAACTTTTCTCTTCATACAGTGTCTCGTTGTGTTTATAAATCAATAAAACCGTTTGTTGGCCAACACTACCTTCTAAGTACCCTGCATCTTAAATGTTTAAAGTACTTTATGTATTATATATGAAACAGTGGCCTCTGTTTTTTTTTTTTTTTTTTTTTTGAAGTTACTGCAATCCAAGTTTAGTAACAACGGAGACCAAGACAAGTCTGTCTCTCCTCCTACTTAGACCCTGGAGGTAACGTGAGCTGGAAGGATGACAAAAACCCAGAGCTGCAGTTAGAAAATCAAAACTGCTCCATGGTCTGTTTCATTATAAGAGGCGACAAGACTTGTTTTTAATTTTATTCTGTCAGCAGTGTGTCTGCGGAAAAGCCACAGGACGAGAACATAAAGGTATCATGGTGATTTTTCAATATACCATCTGGGTAATTAGCATCAGCAAAGTCAATTAAAATCAAACACATTAAATTGTTAAGGTATTTGTTAAATGATAGTGAATGTGTCTGGTAAAATGGTGCAGCATGGGTAAAAAGAACTTACCGAATGAAGCGGTCTGACCAACTTTCACGTCAGAGGAAAAACACAATACAACATTTAAAGCGAGACCAAATAAAGCACATAAGGAACAAACAATACATAAAAAAATAATGAAAATGAGAGTTAGTAAAAACCAAAAGCCGAACCTTTTGCATTTGGAAATGTTGGGTATGGGGGTCATTTAAATCAGTTTTTCCCAACCTTTTTTCAGCCACACATATATATCATCAGGGAAAACCCCACGGCACAACACCAAACCAAAATCTCACAAAAAGTTCTGTAAAGGTAATGAAATATAATAATATTCTACTTTAGATTTACTAAAAAATGTACTCCTGTTTAGTTTAAGACAACACTGATATACTGACAGGAATTGAAGAAAGACAACTCACAAAGATCTTCTTCAACAGCTCTGATTACTGTATCTTTTCTTAGTTTTAATAACCATCTGCTGCCATCTAGTGGAGAATGATTTCATTGCTCTTTGACAAACAAAAATGATTTGCTATAAATATTAGTTTTGGGATAATTTGGATAATTCTGCCACCTAGTGGAAGAGGATTTAATTGCTCTGCCTGACACGCATTAACAAACAAACAAATATTTGCAATAAATAAATATTAGTTCTGGGGCCACTTAAGTGACATTGGATAATTTTCCACGGCACACCTAATGATCTCTGACGGCACACTAGTGGGCCACGGCACAGTGGTTGGGAATCACTGGTTTAAATAAATGAATAAATAATAAACCTTATGCTGCCCATTTGTGTTTTTTACAAACCTTACTATTAAAGAAATGTCATTCTCACCCATGCTGGCAATGATGCTGTGCACAGGAAGCCTAGAGGGGGAGCCATAGAGGCCAGTGATGGGCAGATCTTTGCAGTGCTTCTCCTGCTGTTTGAAGAAGAAGGCGGAGTTCTCCTCCTTGGTGATGTTGATGTAGTAGCAGGTGTCGGTGGCAGCCATGATGTGGCGAGGACCAGGGTTCAGGAGGATGCTTTTGTTGTCCTCCCCCTTCACGCCAATCAGACACACTCCGTATCTGTGACATGAGTGAAGGAAAAAAAAAAAAAAAGCAGGTGTCGGTGGCAGCCATGATGTGGCGAGGACCAGGGTTCAGGAGGATGCTTTTGTTGTCCTCCCCCTTCACGCCAATCAGACACACTCCGTATCTGTGACATGAGTGAAGGAAAAAAAAAAAAAAATTTCTTCACAAAGAAAAATCCATCGTTGGTCCCGACCGGACTAGTGCGAGTTACTGCTTACTTCTTATGGGCGTGAAAGGAAGCGTACGTGAAGCTCTTGCCGTCGTACTCCCCAAAGAATTTGCTGTCACACAGGCGGATGTGGTAAACCTCGTTCCCTGAGCAGCGACCGTACGTCCGCTGCCACTGCTCCGGTGAGAGCTGTCCTTCCCTGGAATATCAGTACAGTACTATTGACATGAGTGACTTTAGAGTGACACATTATTATTTTGTTGAATTGTGACGGTTTCACACATTTTAAATACATTTCGATGTGAAAGGAGACAATAAAAGGTAACATGTAAAATGTAGTACAGAAATACTAACTGTCCTCTGGACGTGTGGACCAGGAGAGTGACTAAGGTGGACATGGCTGGACACACGCAGTTCAGTGCCAACAAGGCATATTTGAATTCTTCTTCACACACCACGTGATCTGACGGAAAACGACATGGTACGATCAAATGTGAAAATATCACAGTTATGAAAAGCGTTTAAGCTTCAAGCACTCACCTGCAAACTTCACGTGAAATTTATTTTCTGGTTTGAGAATTTGGACGTAGAGAGGACAGTTAGGGGCGAAGTCCTTCACAGCCCAGGCCCTCAAAATAGTCTGGTGATCCTGGAGGACAAAAACAGCAGCGTGTTAGCATTTCTACATTTTTCTAATTCAAGTCTCAATTTTGTCTCACAGGAAATTTAATTAAATTACTCAAATTGATCAACATCACATTATTGTCCTAATTTGTATTATTGGGAAATATCCAGCTCAAGGCGACTCACTGCTGCCGTTCGATCAACCTCGTTTCTGCTGCTCAGAATAAAGCAAGCCTCAGCATCGTCCATCCTGAGGGTCAAGATAAAGACACGCAGGAAAATACAGAAGGACAGGGTCAGGGGCTGGTGACCCACCGCAGAGGAAGCATTGATCGGAAAACTGCACTCATTACTCAAGTAGATTGATGCTATAAAAATAGCTAGACGTTGATAGGCTCTGATTCCTCAAGACAATAAAAAGGTTAATGGTCTTGTTTAGCTTGACTCTGGTAAATTGGGGATTTATTTTATAGCATGTGTTTACGGACACCATCCTGCCATTACACCTTATATTACGTTTTGTAAAAGCTAATGCTATCAGCGCTAAGCTAATAGCAATCTAGCCTGATAGCTTAAGCACTAACGCTAACAGCTTTAGCGTTTACACACAAGTAAGTAAGTAATTTTCTTAAAACCAACTGACAGACATACACAAGCACTTTTTAATGCAAGGTGTCACTCAAACAAGTTAGCAGAGTATTCATCCTGAACATGGCTACGACTAGCTAGTATGCTAATGGCTCACTTTGCTCTCATTAGGTCCTGGTCTTTGAGAGCAGATCCCTGAAGGTAGATGACCCTCTGTGACCAGAGAGGAATCTGGAGGATACGGCGAACCTGAATGTCCATCTCTGCTGGACACAGAATGACCACGTAATAGTCCTGCAGGACAAAAAAAGACAGAAGAGGATTAACAAGCGGGGACAAGTAAATCATAAAACTATGTTAACCTTTATGACAGTTTCCCAATCAAGTGACGAATAAAAATAGTTTTTTAATAAAATATTCAAATTTTAAATTATTAATTTCGTATTGTGTTTATTCAGTTACTCATCATGTCTCCCTATTTCTCACAGATATTTCCGAAAATACATAACAGGCTAAAACAAGTCAATTATAATTGACATTTTGCCTTAATGTCATTGCTCAGTCTCCTACTAATCCCACTGTAATTTTGGAGGGGAAAAAAGCTTTTGGCATTTATTAAATGTCAGAAAAAATAACATGAACTGCAAGGTAGCACTTTGGCTAAATTTGAATGGATTGAAGTTCAACTTAGGGACTGTTTGAAGTCTTAAGCATGTGGTTCTGAAATGTGAAAAGATCACTGGTAATACTCATACTGAAAAACTCACATTCTTACAACATTTTTACTTTTATTCCAAAGAAGAACATGCATGTCAGGCTATAATCACGTTAGCATACAGCACATTTTGAATGTTGATCAATTGATGTACTGTAGCCATCTGTCCTCTCCACAGGCAGCTACAACTGTACCTGTAGTCTTGGATGAGCGTAGAACTCATTGAGGAAATCCATCAGCAGATCGATCTTCAGCGAGCTGACACACAACACCACATGCTTCTCCGTCTGCGCCCGGTGTCGGCTGTAGTTCCCTCCCAATTTCTGGCTCTCCATCCACAGGTACGCTAGTTCTTCAAACTGACACAACATTGATTTGATGTCAGAAGAACCAAGAATTAAATCAGTAATAAAAAAAGGAGAGTCAGGTGACGAGTATTAACTCAATACTCTATCCCGTTAGCATGACGGGCTAAGATTAAAACGAAAAGAAATTTTAAATTACAGGCAAAACCAGCACATAGGGATCACCTGCAGCGGCAGAACGACCAGGGCGACACAGATGAGAAGGACAACCAGCAGCTTCGACGGCCAGATCTGTGGCGTGACGTCTCCGTAGCCCACAGTTGAGAAGGTGACGATGCAGAAATAGAAGGAGTCGAACAGGGATAGGTGTTTTCCTGCTCTCTCCAGGTGCTGGATCCCACAGGCTCTGCAGGGGGAAAAAAAACCTCAAAAATTCAGTTATGATTAAGCTTGATTTCATCTGAATTAAATGTTATTTGCTGAAAATCAAGCAGCAACAAATTCAACACAACTTTACCATGTCCTCTTTAATTAACTGTTGGGTTTTCCTACTCACTGATCATTCTAATCTATTTAGTTCATTAACAAGGATTTAACGAATTGCCTCGAGGCAGGATGCGCAGACGGTCTGGCGGTGTCGGACCAGACACTGTGCCTGGCGCTGGCCAAGGCTCTCAATATGCAAATGCTTCAAGAAGTGAAGGCAGTGATTAATAACAAAGGAACAGTGCTGCAAAAATCAATAGAGCAGTAAAGAAAACACGAAGTGCAGCCCACTGAATGAAAACCAATCCAAAAAGTCTAGCATTTATTTATATTTTTTCAAAATCACTTCCCTTGTGCATGTTAATGAAATTCTACTTGCAACTCACTGAGGAAGATATATTTCTGATAATAAATGAGCATAACATACAGCACTACTGAATAAAACTGAGTATAATATATTACTTAATGCAACACATTAATTAATAAACACGGACATTTATCGCAACTTTTTCAATTATAGTTTTTTTTAACTGCAAAATTGAACTGTTTTTGTGAATAAAGGATCTTATTTACCTCCAGTTATTATCCAAACCAAAACCTTCGTTTCGTGATTGATCGCATTACTTATTAAGAAACTGTGTGCAAAACAACTTCATTAACCATAGAAAACCATTGTGATCCATTTGGACTTGAATTTGAATCAATGCAGGACTTTTTCAAACATAACCCTGGTTTTAGAAAAAATATGGCATGCTCCCATGAGACACGTGACCTAACTCACCCAGTGAAAACCAGACACATCAGGGTACAGATGAGGATGAACACCTGGTTGAACATGGCAGAGTGGGTCCTCTGGATGGCACGGTGGAAGTCATTCTTGACATATGAAAGGCAAGAGAGACACAAAGGCAGGATTTAAAGGTTATGTCTGTGACATCAGAACTCGGAAATGCCAACTCTTTAGACCATACGTGTCAAACTCAAGGCCCGGGGACCAAATGAGGCACGCCAAGCCATTTTGTGTGGCCCGTGGGAGCTTAAAAAGCATTTAATAAAGTCCATGCAGCAGAGTTTATCAACCTATGAAATTAAACGTTTTTTGTTTGTTTTTTACACAGCAATGAACAATATTTGTAGCTTGAATAAAGATACATGTATTAGTCTGTTATGGAGGAGCTACATCTATACCAGACTCTATTCTGTTTGTATCAAAGTCTGAATGACTTTTATTTTAAAATATTGCCAGATTATCGTCAAATAAAGAAAGTAAATGGAACATTTTTTTTGAATGAAGTAAATTAGAATTTTTTCAATTTTTCACTGTGTCCCACTGCGGGCTGGTACCAAAGGATCTAGGGCTGGTACTGGTCAGCGAACCAGGGGTTGGGAACCCCTGATCTATACAGTGTTCCATTTAAAACCGGCCCGTCTGCTGACGTGGCCCCCGGTGAAAATGACACCCCTGCTCTAGACAAAATGATGTGTAAGAAACGGTACAATATGACACACCGTAACAGTCCTTGTTGACACGTTTGAAGTTAGCGGGGGTGGTCTTTATCTATCATACTCACTGGTAAGATATTTGGTATTGATTTGTTTTATGCTCCAGAGCCTCATGTCATCACACACATCCTCATCAAAAATACAAGGGATCTGTGTACAACACAGCACCTGGACCACAAACAAAGTAGACTATACTTGTTCTCGTTCTTATGTTTCTATGTACACGTGAATACTGCGATTTCTTCCTCTGCTCTTCAAGCAGATGTTCCTTACCAGACCTCCACAGTTGTTGCGTCATGTGGTGAAGAAATCGGCCTCAAATCCAACCATCTGCTCCAACCACTGACTTCCCATTATGTTCTTACTGTTTTAGTAAGAACATAATCTGAGTCACAGCGAGCCGTCGCGTTACATCAGCTGGGCATCGGCTAAATGCTGCCATTACAAAAACAGCTGGGCGTTGTCTCGCACCTGACCTTACCACGTTTAGAGCCTGCCTCTGCTCTAACGTTTCTGTAGCGGATCTGCTTATTTTGCTTAGTTTGCACCGCTTCTTCTTTGTTTTTATCCTGCCTTTGTTTCATTACGATTTTGTTGTCGGCTGCAGTTCCTCCAACACCCACTCAATACACTTCATTAACTCAGCACTCCTGAGTACAGGTCTCTGGTGTATCAGAGATTAGTTAGCTTTGCATTACAAACAGCCAAGAACTTTCGATGCTGAAACACAGTCCAATTCATCATGTATCCACACACACAGAGACACGCATTTCTCCATGAATTTTCAGTAACAAAATGCAAATGTCACTGGTCTGTGGCCAATATTTTCCAGCTGAGTCAATTAGCGACTGAATAAATACATAAATTTAAAAATCCGTTGTTAGCTACTTTTTACTTTAATTGTGTAAACACATGCACATTATGCAAAATCAGGTTTTGTGCTTCTGGTCACGACTGGTCGCAAGATGCCGAAACTGTTTTAAATGACCCGCTAATTCTGATACAAGATTACAAGTCATGGCTGATCTAAGACCCCGACTTGATGTGCTATCGCGGAATATTGATACCGAATATGTTTTATTCATATGAAGAGACAGATAAAGGGTTCTAAAGTGATAAAAATCATTTAAAAAACTCTAAAGCCTTGGGTTTTGTTAAAGGCTAAACATGCGAGTTCATTATGTAGTCAGAGAAGATCTCTCTGTCCCCATCCCGCTCTGTATTTAACGGCAGCAAGGGCAATTGTGTGTTATTGTCTGAGAAACCGACGGCCCAGGATTGAACTCTAGGAATTCTACGCACAGTGGTTAAAACTTTACAAACAACGAAGAGAATTAAATTAACCATTCATTTAAATATCAAAAAAATACTTACTATCATATTCTCCAGTGCACCTTTGGCTAACCAGCAGTTTAGAAACACAGGGACAAATATGTTTCTCCACGGAGCCCAGAAAATCTTGAGAGACGGAAGAAAAACGAACAATGTTAGCAGGATTAAAACACAGCTCAGACTTGAAAGAAAAAATAAACTCACTGTAATTATGAATGGCACAGAATTGATCATCTCCAATATGAAGGATATCTGAAAGACCTGCTCCCAAATGTTACCCTGGAGAATGGAAATTGACAAGAAATAAAAAAAAAGAGAATGACAATACATCTCATCATTATGAAGATGAAGACACTGTTTGTCCAATTATATCAACCTAAATAGCAATTATATTAGTTTGGAACCAATGTATGTGGAATGTACAGTAAGTGGACACTCAGACTAGGGCTGGGAATCGGTTAAAATTCGATTCCGATACTCAAGATTCAGAATTGATTATCACGATTCGATTCATGTTATTTTAAGCTGAATTAAATGACTACTTCGCCTTCAGCTGCAGTACCTGCTGCTTTTCTCTGAGGATGTGGGTGGCAGTCGTACTGCGATGAAAGTAGTGTAGCGACCCCCGAAGTAATGTTAGAGTGTTATAACGATCATGATAGAGTTATGTAATTTCCCAGGGTCTGTAAATGTGTCGGGATGAACGAGAGAGCAAGGGGGCGGGGCGAGCAGATGATAGAGAGCGCGCTCGGCTGAGAGAGAAGTGTGGATGGAACACGGACGTGAGTTGAGTTTATGTGTGAGACCGGGAGTGTTTTATTGTTTTAGTGTGGTTACAGCCGACAGTAATCCAGTTCTTTAATCAAATGTTCAACAACAAACTGCAGGTTTGTTGAATGACGCATTCGCGGGTCGGACGCTACAGTACTTTGCGATGTGCCTCACTTGAGGTTTATGGTTTGAGCGAAGCAGCCTACATGCGTTAGCTCCATTATCTCAACCGCACGGACCATATTTGCCGCGTTGTCGGTCACCATAGCTGGATTCTTACAGCCCCTAACCCTGCATCTCTGTCGTCAACATTGCCGCTGGACTGGCAGAGCGATGGTCAGTTTCAACTTCGGTGGTTTGTAGCACATGAGAGTGCAGGTTCCACTCGTCATTCGTTCTTTAAAAAAACTAAATAAATCGATATTTGGACGTACGAATCGATATTCGAGAATTGAATGGAGAATCGATTCAGTATCGGCGAATCGATATTTTGAACTCAGGCCTAATTCAGACTGTATATTAATATTATGGTAGACACTGACTTCTTCTCCTCGTGTTCATTTTAGAGTACAAAGACATATGTTCACTGTCAGGAGTTAAACTACACGAAGAGAAAGCAGTATAAAAAAAAGACGCCAGCAGTCTGTAAATTAAACTCTGTCATCGGCTCGATAAATCTGAAGCCTATGAGCAGGCGTAATAACATAATGCAAACAGGGATAAAGAGGATGTCAATACAATATGGACGAGCTGCTTCAGTCTTCAAATACATTTAAAATTGAAACAGATTACATTAAACAAACAAAGATGACTTTTGCGTGTTAAATAAAAAAGAAAAAAAAAATACAGTTCTCTGTGGCAGACCACTCTTTATGACTGATATTCTTCTACTCCTCTCTGCACCCTGGTCCTTACATGCTGACAGCCAAGTATCTCTGAATACATGGATTTGAACGACAGCTCAGAGTCACATTAAAAAAGTGACTCAGCATTTTTGCTGTAATAACTGGAGAATCTGCACTTCATTAAAATTGAAAAGCTCCTAAAAATTTACCAAACCTCAATATTTAATGACTTACAGATTCTTGACCATATACTACTGGTCTGGATCTGCAACTGGACTGCAGTCCATCTATTAGGTAGGCCCTTTTTTAAAAAATACCTTGTGCATATACCAGCAGAGGGAGCACATCGCACTTACCACAAGGATAGTTAGCAGACGTAGCAGTTTGGGTTATTTTGAAGTTTTGAATGCTATTAGCATAGCTCAATGCTAAGATATTTCTATAGCTAGTTTTATTTTTTATTTATTTGAATTTGGGGCACTATATACGTATGTTAGCTGTATATATGTATATACATACATATACAGTATATACATGTATACACATACATATATAGTGCCCCAAGTTTAAATATATTGCAAAACCATATATGTATGTATATATATATATACATATATAAATACATATATACACACATATATATATATCTTCTTTTTATATATATAAATATATATATAAAATGACAGTCACGGATTGGCAGTAATAAATATTAGATCATAAAGTTCATTTCCAGCTCAGTTTGCCTGCCTAAAAAAAACCAATTCTGCAGACGATAATTAGGTCTGAAATGAGAGCAAGAGTCTCTTTGATCACAGAAGCCTCAGTTCTGGCTCTTAGTCTGTGCACAGACAGCTGCAGGCAGGAAACAGCAAGAGTGTTAGACGTCCATCAGACAGCTGCACAGGCACCGGTTAGGATTAAAAGCCAGAAAGTGTGGACTGTGTGTCTTACCTTGTAGCTGAGATATGTGATGAGCATGGTCTCCAAGAAACTGATTAAGGCCACTGTCACCTGAAGCAGGAGGATGGGGGGGGACAAGATGATAAATGAGCTGAGCAGCTAACAATTCCTCTTCTCCACTTTCCCCAACCTTCACTTAAAAACTACCATGGTCGGCAAATTCTTTCATTTAATAAATGGGTGCAAGTGTAATCGGCGTGAACCCTGCATTAACATTCAGTCTGTGCTGAGAAAATTTGATTTATGTGCACTTTCCCCACCCCGGAATGCTATAACGCTCACCTGTATCGCCCACACAGGCTCTCGTCTGTTCACCCAGAAAATCAGCTTCCTGTCAAGACCGTGACAAAGGTCGTCTTCACCCAACATTTCATCTCCCTTTTTTATTGTATCATTAATAATGAACACAAATACGCAATACAATTAAATTTGATTTAAACAGTAACATACCAGTCGATATCTGGTGACTCTTCAGGATTTGTCTGACTGTTGTTAAGACAAACTGCATCGCTAACCAGAAAAGAGAGAAAGAAATCCATAGGTAAATACAGGAGGTCAGTACAGTGTATTTGACAAATAGCCAGCGTTTCACTTATTTCAAGCAAACATGACTGACCTACTATAACTATAACATTTTTTTTATTATTATTATTTTTATTATTATTTATTTATTTAAATGTATTGTAATGTAATGTAATGACAAAAACTACATAACAAAGGGCCCTCTCAAAAACAGATCACTGTTTTTCAAACTATGGTACGTGGACCCCGTAGGTTAGTTGAGCCCCCTCTAGTGGTAAGCTAGAGTTGCTATAGGGATATGGTGAGTTGTTAAATACAGCTACAGGGTATTTACATACATGACATACTGTACATAAGTACCTACAGTATGTTATTCAGCTATGCTAACACAGTGGTAACATCTAGGACAGTGTTTCCCAATTTTTTTCTTCTGGGGACCCATATTTTAAAAGTCCTTCGCAACTCAAGTCAAAAGACATTATTCGTAAACTCCTGGGAAACATGATGTGAGACAACCCAAAAAAAAACCTACTTGCGACCCACCTGAGGGTCGCGACCCAGTCTTTGGGAAACAATGATCTAGGACATCAAAGAGTCTGACTTATGCCTGGGAGCCATAATGAAGGGCAAAAAGTTCCAGAAACAACGGAACGCACAATCCAATATGGTGAATGTAAACAAAGGCGTCTTCTGCATATAATGACATAACAAGGTATGTGTCTGCTCGGCTTGCCAACTGGTTCCAGTGTGTACTGGTGGGTGAGTTTTAACAGTGGTACAGAGTATAAAAAGTTTGAGAACCACTGCCATAGGTCAAGGATGTCCTTAAACGAGGATTGTACTAGGATTGTACTGTACTGTACTGTGGTATTTTCAAACAAAATAATTTCAGACCCAGTACACACTGTGAAAAGCCTCAGAATCACTGTCATCGAACAAACAGTCACTAAGTGGGGAGTAGAAATGAGACCCTTACCCTGGGTCTTCGTTGCCGTTGGTGGGATCGTCCAGCCTGACTCTCAACATGTAGAGGGCGCAGGTGAGTATCTTCAGGGAGAAGTTGAACAGACGGATTCTCAGGCCTTTAGACCAACAAAGAAAAACAATGTTTGACAAACTAGTCTGAACATCAACATCAATGTTCTCAGATATTCAACAAAAAAAAGTCTCACATTCAGTTTCCACTTATCGGGATTTGTTGTGAAGGCTACGCAATTTATTTCCCATCAACCTTACTACGCCCTGTGGGTGTGACTTGACCTTCCTGGATTTTTCGGTAAATGTATCAAAAAGTGGACACCACAACAACGCTATGGAGTAGAACAACAGACCCCTGTAGCCAGGGCTGACATTTCCATTAGCTCCCATGTCAAAGAGCCTGTCCACAGCCTGTCACATCAGCTCGCATCAGTGTCAGGGATTTAACTACAGGTCTTGGAGGAGACACGACTAGATGCAAATGACTTACAGAACCATTGCACCAAATGATCTAAATCTCCCGCTGAGGAAAAAACACTGCAGATGCTGAGACAGATGCTTCTGTCTCAGCATCTAAGACAATGTTCTCTGCGTGCTGGGCCACAGAACGTGCACCAAAGAAAACAGTAATTTACAGCAAGATCGCTAATGCAATAACACAAGCCCCGACTGGGAGAGAAAATTGAATATGGCTCCTCATCACCAGTGGCAATTTCCTACAGTGTGCTTTCGTGTATCCATTTGTCTGGGAGAGTTCTGAGATAAGAAGATGACGTGGGGGGTCAGAAGGGCCCCGGGTTCACGCACTTACTTGACCTTTGGTTTTTGATAAAGAAAAGCTTCAGCCTCTCCTTGAAGGTGTTCTCGTTCACATAGAACTCCACTTGTACCCTGCGGGCGACAGAGACAGAAATGGCAGTGTAAATAACCAGGGATATTAAAGTAGAAACAACCAGCCAATCTACAGCTGGATGGATGGAAATAATACCAATATGTTAGCAGCAGACAAATCATCATGTTTATCGGTCAAACTGCTGGGTTTTCATCTCCTCACCATAGTCTGTGCAAATGCATCAGCCTTGCACTGGATTCTGGGAAAGAAAAAACTAACCTGGTCTCTGCAGGAGCTGCAGGATGGCTATTGACCTCATCTATTTAGCCAATGCAGTTTTAAAGATGGCAGTTTGGAGTGTTTTTATTTCGCACAGTAACAATGTGTAAATATATATAATATTTTCCTTATTGAGATTTAACTTTAATTATAAAATACAAGCAGAAGATATACATAAATATATATACATATAAATACATGCAGTGTGTATATGTGTATGCATATGTATTTATATATTGTATAAATATTTTTATATATATATTTGTATATATATTTATATATTGTTTATATATTTATATACCTATTTGGTAAAATGTTTTCCACCACAGAAGCAACAAAGAAAAATTAGACTTTTAACTATTTTTATTTAAATAATTACACCTTTCTGAACGGTACCCGTGTCTTAGATTGGTATCCATTAATAAACAACACATTTATTTCCACCTTCTCATTAGGGTCATGTACAGTGACAAATCTGCTGTGATTAAATATTAATGGACTAATATCCCTGGAGGTCTCGAATGCATCGTCAGTGCCAACGATGATCAAGCTGCTGTTTCCGGATCGGCCGCAGTCGCAGGAAGTCACAGGTAATATAAGAACGGGCTGAAGAAAAACGAAGCTCATCATTTGTGAGCACTGAGCAGAAGTAATGGCACAGGAGAGGACCTTGGAGGTGCAACCCCCCCCCCCCACCCACCCCCCCGACAAGATGAGTACAGGGGATAGAAACACGGGGGATTAGTGGAGAGAGCAAGGAGGCAATTACTGTGATGAGTCCTGGGAGAAAGATACGTATGTGGGATTTGTGTGGATATACTGTGTAGGTGGGAGACAGAACAATCCTCACTCTCACTCCACCACAGATAGAGATAAGATAAGTCAGGAACACATACACACACCGTTATCATCATCGTCATCATCGTCATCATTATAATCTTAAGATGAGCACCTTAAAACACATCATTAGTCACCTGTGTGTGTCCTTGATGAGACGTTAACATGTCTACCTGTGACTACCATTATATAGCAACCAGTGACCTGGAAACATCTGCGAGGAAACCACTAATCCACGTGTTGTTATCAGCGTAGGTGGAGATGCCTATTTGTTCTGAGAGGCTTCCTCGCCTTATCTGATTGTAATGAAAGGGACATCTGCAGTCTAGTCCACCATAATCTGGAAAGAGACACATTATTCTTGGTCTTTTTCTTTGTACCGTGTGTACAAAAACAAGCCCGATATCACTGAGCCGCTTAACCAGTACTTCTCAACCAGTGGGGCAGGGACCCCTTTGAGGGCATGGTGAGGGGCTTCCAATAGAATATGGCACGCTGGACATACTGCAAGTGTAACCACTGCTGTAATGCTTGAATGATAACAAGCCTCCAGTCACTAGGTGGCAGCAAGTCATACAGTGGTTTGTACAGATCTCAACAGTTCTCAATACTATTTCAATTTGCGGGGTGTGTGTCGAAAGAGGATGTGGGGGCTAAAGGGTGGGGGTGTCAGAACATTTCTCTCCACAAGGTGGAGCATGACAGGAAATAATTGCGAATCACTGTGCTAAACCAACATGTTTTAAGAATGAAAAATAATCTAATAAATATGATTGCTTAATCTAAACTGGGGAATCACCAACTACATTTGTCAGAGGGCCAGAATTTTCCTGGACAGGGCGGGAAAAAAATTCGAGGGCGGACACTTAAATAAAATGAAATCAAAATCACATTTTTGGCTAACATTATTATTTGATGTTTATTTTGGAATCTAGTCCAAGGCCGGATTGTATGGTTTGGTGGGCCAGATTGGGCCCACCAGTTGCCAGTTGATAGTCTCTGATGCAAACAATTAAGGCAACTTGTTTTGCAAATTTGACATTAGCTAGGTTTTGGTTCAGGTACTTATCTCTGAAAATGCTGCATGCTTCTGAAGTGGCAGGTTTATGTCATATAATCCAGTCCTCTCACAACAAGCTGTTCTGATTTACATTTACAATAAACATACAACCCACAATGGGAAGCTCCGCCCACATGTTTACTTCAATCAAAACCGCTGTGTTCACCCTTCTGTTTGGCCAACCAAAATATATTACTAATATTTCATTTATACATCAAGGAAGGATTTTAGTCTGGAAAAAGCATAATACAATTTTGTATCCATCTTGGTGAGTAATGTGTTATAGGACTGAAAATCGCCACTAATTCTCCATTATATCATTTAAACTAATATGGCAGAGCAGTTGGAATTAGATTTCCCCTAAATGGTATTAAAGATTTGATTCAGAGAACCCTTGGAAGATGTATTATACAGAACATCTCCTAGACCTCAGTCCAGGTCACTGCAGTACTACAACAATGCCCTTTAAGTCTCTTCATTTACATTACTATATCATCTGCAAACCATCACACCAACTACTAGGGCATTTGTCCAGTTTTTTTTTTTTTAATTGTCTTCATGCCAGTGTGCTTTCAAAATGCAGTTTTTTGTCTACTGCACTATATTTATAAATTACTTTTCTTTGCCATTTTTTACTCAAATTGTACTCCCTTGATTTGCCCCCTGGACGACCATGTAGATCACGTGATGTGATGCCGCAGCAGTAACGTGTGGATTTCTCAAATTCAGCCTAAACTTCTGCCAGATGATACTCTCAACATTAACTGTCAAGAGTACTGCGTTACTGTCAAAGTCATTCTGAGGAGATGAATATCACAATACTAAAAATGTACTCTTTTCCCTGCACTAAAGAGCCATTATATATATATATATATATACATGTATACATATACATACATATATATACATACATATACATACATATGCACATACAGTATATACAGTATAACTAGATATACACTATATTACCAAAAGTATTGGCTCACCTGCCTTGACTCATACTATGAACTGAAGTGCCATCCCATTCCTAACCCAGAGTTCAATATGATGTCGGTCCACCTTTTGCAGCTATTACAGCTTCAACTCTTCTGGGAAGAGGAGAGTGTTTATAGGAATTTTTGACCATTCTTCCAAAAGCGCATTGGTGAGGTCACACACTGATGTTGGTCGAGAAGGCCTGGCTCTCAGTCTCCGCTCTAATTTATCTCAAAGGTGTTCTATCGGGTTCAGGTCAGGACTCTGTGCAGGCCAGTCAAGTTCATCCACCCCAGACTCTGTCATCCATGTCTTTATGGGCCTTGCTTTGTGCACTGGTGCACAGTCATGTTGGAAGAGGAAAGGGCCCGCTCCAAACTGTTCCCACAAGGTTGGGAGCATGGAATTGTCCGAAATGTTTTTGGTATCCTGAAGCATTTAAAGTTCCTTTCACTGGAACTAATGAGCCAAGCCCAGCTCCTGAAAAACAACCCCACACCATAATTCCTCCTCCACCAAATGTCACAGTCGGCACAATGCAGTCTGAAATGTACCGTTCTCCTGGCAACCTCCAAACCCAGACTCGTCCATCAGATTGCCAGATGGAAAAGCGTGATTCATCACTCCAGAGAACGTGTCTCCACTGCTCTAGAGGCCAGTGGCGGCGTGCTTTACACCATTGCATCCGACGCTTTGCATTGCACTTGGTGATGCGTGGCTTGGCAGCTGCAGCTGCTCGACCATGGAAACCCATTCCATGAAGCTCTCTGCGTAGTGTACTTGGACTAATCTGAAGGTCACATGAAGTTTGTAGCTCTGTAGCAATTGACTGTGCAGAAAGTCGGCGACTTGCTTGATTTTATACACCTGTGGCCAGGCCAAGGGATTAGGACACCTGATTCTGATCATTTGAATGGGTGAGCGAATACTTTTGGTAATATAGTGTATATATTTATTTTCCCCCCCAGAAAAGTGTACCACCACTGTTGAAAGAAATAGGATTTCAATTTCACACTACCTTTGCCTGACATGCTGATCAAATAAAACTGTGATGTTGACATAACAAACAAAATAAATCATTGATTGCTTTTTGAAACAAACAAACAAACAAACAAAAACACATGGACTATTGGTCAAGTCAAACAGCACAGCTGAGCAACAATGTTTTATAGCGAAGTGGAAATCGTGTTACTGGAAGAAGTAACTGGAAATGATGGAAATGAAATGAATGTTTCCCTGAAACTGGACTTCTGCAGAAAAACAGAAATATTCCCTGAAAAACCATGGACTATTTTTCATTGTTGATTAGATCGTAATGTGTCCAGATGTTACAGGAAACAAACACAAAGGAAAGAGCTAATAGATGAGCTTTGGTTAGCATAACCGTGGAAGCTATTTTATTGACTACATCTCATCTGCACAAGTAGAGGAACGTGTTTCGTAATCGTATTAATAAACATACTGCAGAAACAAATGCCCCCTCATCGCTGAGGCGGTCAAACCCATCCGACCGAGCTGCAAGTTGTAAACAGAACACTTCACGGCTCCCAGAAGTGTGACTGATATAAAAGCTGCATGGATTCTAAAAATACTACATCCAGGCATAAATACTGAAAGGACCCAGCAGCGTTCCCTACTTCTGCTCAACCAGGCCGATCCTGGAAGACCCCACAGAGAGGGACCGCAGCCAACTTCTCTTATATAAAATTATCAGAGTGACCTTAAGTCCAGACGTGGTGTGTTAAGTGTTCTCTCGGCTAAATCCTGAAGCAAGAGGCCTTTAGAGGAAACTATAAGCCAGGTGGATGATAACCATCTTAATGGAAACTGCGTGGAGAGGAGAACTGACATCAACAACCTGACAAGGCAGAATGGGTCACTCTGACCCAACTGTTAATGTGTTCAACTGTATGAGGTTTAGCACTGGAGAGGCCAAAATACATATACATGTACAATGTACATGTATATGTATTTACATATATACATACATATACATATATATCTACATACATATATATATATACATACATACGTACATACATACATATAAACATATACATATTTATATATATGTATACACATACATATATATATATGTACAAGAAAGACATAGTACTCTGTGAAAGTTACACCAGTGATACGTCAACAGGCTGAAGACAACCACAGCAATGTCATTAATTTCAAGGCAATTAATGTGAAGGAAATAACATCATGTTAGAGTCAATCAAAAAGCATTCCCTTTGTAATTTCCTGGTAGATCTTACTTATTGGGAACCCCTGATTTAGAATCTTGAACATCACAGCCTGATGCACAGTTTCAAAATTAGCAGCGTGCATTAAAGCCAAAACCGACATGAGGTGACCAAGTAAATAAATCACCAAGTTTAGTGTTGAACATTCTGCCACCTTTGTTGATGGGACTGAATGTACAAGCTTGGATGGTTTATGTGGACGGAGGAAAGGTTGTGTGCAAACTGGGGGGGAGGAGGGGGGATTTCAAACACACTCAACCTGCCTTTTCACCATTTGTTGTGCTGCCACTGACTCCATTCAAATCCGTTTTCCCACTTTTGACTCTGTGCCACAACAACTGTTGAAAAGTTGGCTACAAATGCATGGGCTATTCCCAAGTTGACAATCATTGCCACAGCAATCACTGCCCACCGACGGTAATGAATGGATGAATGCACATAAACCTGCAGTCTGTTAACATTTTTTTATGGATGATGTGTTGTGCTGAAGGGAGGTTTCCTGTTCCTGTGTGTGGCTATCCAAGCTGTACATAGTTCATGCCATGCAAGCATGATGCTGCCAAGGACTTACTGGGCATTGGTCGAGTCCATACTGTATTCCTCTTGGTACCTGTACGCAGTACACATGAACACAGGCACAGATTAGGAGAGAGCGAGGTTGTTGGGGGTGGGGAGGCAGGGAAGACAAAGATTAACAGCAAGGATGGAGCAGGAAGGTACAAATGACCCCCGACTAATGATTTTTCATGACGCTCGATCGCATACATTGAAGGCTTTATTATTACTATTTGTTCATTTACTCCCGACAGCCGGAACGAACGGATCGCATTTTAGCTACAAATCGAAAAGACATAAAGCCGGTTTCATTTAAACGCCAGTCAATTCAAAGAAAATGCTCGATTGACTAAAGAACAGATGGGACACACACTGTACTGCAAACCACAGGAGATAAACAGACATTCCTTCACGGTGAGTTAGCGGTTGCTAGATATATTTTAGGTGAGTAGAGAGGACGGAGACGTGTGTAACGTTAATACAGACGGACAGAGGGACGCAAACAAATATTGATTAGTAACTGAGGTAAAAGGTCAACTCTACAACAGGATGTGAAACACAAACTGACGGCGGCTTCACGTGTTTCCCCACTCTCCTGGAAGACGTGCGTTACTTAAGATGGTTCTCAGAACTGAAGCAAAACTTTAAATATAGACCATCATCAACTATAAAATGTATGTATAGCATATATGTAACATGACTGAATGCTAAATTTTCACCAGAAGGGGCATATTAGCAAGAGATGAATTGATTATAATTCAGTCAATTTAACTTACAAATATTGTACCTTGATTTGTGAAATAAAACTTAGTAGCACGGCCTTTACAATGAGGCAATTAAACGCATTTAAGATACCGTGGGGCACACAAAATGATTCGGCTGGTCACATTTGACTCGCGGGCTATGAGGTTGCCCTAAGTGACGCAAACATTTTTGGGTAAAATTCTTTAAAAATGTATTTGAACAATAAACTTTTTTTTCATTCATAATCTCACAATTGTAGAAGAACATTTTCCCCATTGGCTAAAAGTTAGAATTTAGAAAGACAAAAACAAGTTTCTGTAAAAGGATCGTTATCTTGGATCCATCACTCTCTGACAGCTTTAAAGCCTTATGAAATCATCAGTCCATTTACGCTTTTCAAAATGGACAAATGGAATGTCCATTAGGTGCAGGAAGCAGGAGTGTAGGTCACAAGAGAGAACCTACATTTGTCTCTGTCTTTAATTAAGAACCATTTTAAAAGCATTACTGACATCAGTGAAATCACAACTCATGTCTATTAGCAGTTTTACATTTACCGTTATGATCATTTGCTTCAACTAACAGATTTAAAAATCAATACACTGTCATGTACGGACTTGAAAAATCATACGTTTTCAAAGACAAATCAAATCAAGAAAAGGCCACCTGTGTGACTCATTCATTCAACATCTGCTGCTTAAACTTCACATCATTGGGCTATGAATAACATAAAACAATCGATCAACACATCTACATATATGATCAATTAATGAGTTTCTCGCTATCCTAATCCGGACATTTTCGGCCCTTGGGATGAAACGAGAGAACCCGAAGAAAAAAAACTGTGAAATGTTAATCTTCTTGATTTAAGACACGCTGGCTAACAGCTCTTCTCCTCTGTACTCTGTGGCCACCATGTGATTTACTGGATTCCAAAAGGGTTTAATCATACTCTAGAAGTACAAACTGAAAGGTCTCTCAATTAAAGAAACAACATCGCAACGATGAGTTTGCACGGTGCGGTTTAAATGCATTTTACCACAGCAACACTTTAATGAACAGTAATTCACTTCCTGGACTCTAAGAGCTTTCAAAAACACATACATTAGTTCAATGTTAACTCCTCTTTTTCTAACGTAAACAAAACTTAAACTAATATTCATGCTTTTGGCCAAAACACCCCTGAATTTGCATTTTTACTATAATCCATGATGAAGCATCTCTCACCTTTAAAGGCAGCAGATGTAGAGTCTGAAGTGTGAAAACAAGTAACAATAAAAAAATGCCACCCTTTTTCACGCTGTCTATTTCAGTCTCAACTACATGCACGTAGAACTGTTTGGAGCATCGACTGATATGAAAAGGGAGGTCATCGCACAAAAACATGAACAGAATATATAGATGGAATGGGATTCGTAGTTCTCAGTCAGGGGCGTGTATCTGTGCCTGGCAGCGTGCCAACGTTTCTCGGACGACTACACCTCCCATGCTGCTTTCCTCACACATCAGCGGAGATGCAGCTTAGGTTATTTCATCCAGAAATGACTAGTTGTTTCATACTAGGTAACCTAAACCTCAGTTGCGAGCAGAGGACGGGCCTCAGTAGTCACTTTAGGTACGTGTACAACTTAAAAACTATTGATCCGTCATCAGTTTTCATTTGGTCAACTTGAAGTTTCCCACAAAGGCTCAGTCAACAGGTTTCTTTTTTAAGACAAAAGCTTTAGAGAGAACTAAACAGAGAAGTTATATGATGCTAAATAACAATGTTGAAATGTACTAATCTACTCTTTAACCAATACAAACCAGATGGAATGAAATATAGGACGGACAAACAAATCTGAAGCGTCATCTGCAAACATGTCAACTTTCATTATGAGATAAAAACGAGTTAAAAAAAATATACTGACCAATAAAACAGTTTCCTATTAGACGACAGCCAAATTAAAAATGTACAAAAAAAGTGTGTGCATTTTGTAAATATATGTAAATACTACACTCTATTGCAGTGTCATAGGATTCATCCTTGTCTATCATTCAGTGAATGAACAGTTGATACAAATGGCAGTACTGTTGTCTGACAGCATTCCTCCTAATTATCCATCATCCTCATGCTTGTTAAGCCTGGTCATTGATTATCTGCTACTGTGCTTCATGTTGCTTGTAACAAACCTGGAAAGTCAACACTTGATTTGATCGATGATTCCACCTGCAGTATACAAAGATCCCCCTACACATACACCATGATTCAAAAACGTCTTAATGCCGTAACCATGGACCAAATTCAAACCTTATTTTCACATTGTTTTTACATAATACCAATGTTGTAACTCTCTGTTGAAGAGCGTTTTTTTTCTTTACCAGAGCACTTTGAACTTAAAATACCATCTCAACTCTCAGAATGAATGTCTGGCTCATGTCAGACCAGCTCTACTGGGCGTAAATATGTCTACGACTGTTGAACTGTCACATGGATTGTGAGGGACTGTGCGCTGATTAATGTTGATGAAAATAACGTCTTCGTTTGAAAGTTCGGAAAGCAACTCATCACTTAAAATGTACAGTGATGACAAGAAAATCCACCACCTGTGTGAATGAAACTCTTGAGTTACACATTCACATATATGTATGAAATATATCCATATTAATTATCACACCATTTGGATTCATCACAAATAAAAACAGGTGTTATTTAAATTTCGGTTTGAGAAATATGCAAAAAATAATTGATTTTTATCATATTTAGGAAGATTTATTTTGATTTAGTTCGAGACCAGGCAATAATCTATATGTAGTCTCTGCAGGTGTCAAATCACACAGTCCCACAAACCAGGCCAACCAATGGCAACTGTCCAATAGGTGCATTAGATTTTACAGTTCCATCCATTTGCTGAAATTGTGTTTAAGGTTTCCAGACAACCCGTCTGGCAGCACTGCAGTATATCCACATTCAATAATGTTTAGTTTTCCTGTACTGAGCCTTTACTTTCACTTTGTTTAGACACCCTGTCAGCTCACTCACTGCAGGGATTTTAACACACTGACGCCGCCGCAAGGTTTAGCATCTTTGTATCAATGTCGGTTTTCCTGTGGTTACCATCGTACTGTAAGGTTTCTGCAATTAAAAAATATCAATCAACAGTCCCCCACTGACAAAAACTTCAAATGAAAAAAGCAGTTAAAGTACAGAGGGTTACGTGATTCATATAATAATACAATAAGTTGTCATTTTTGTCTCTGTCGATTGTGTTGAAATTAAGACCACGAACTAATTCTCAGACCGCTGTACATCAATTAGGACAATGCTGCAAAGAACGTCTGAGTTCAACAGATTATAAAGAACCAGAAAATTATTCAAGTCGCAATTGTTGCTTTTTTTAATATACAATTGATTTCATAACGTGGACCATGTGATATTTTGGAATCCTGTCTTGGACCAGATTGGTTCTGTTAGCGGGTTGAATTCTGTGTACGGGCCACCAGTTTATAGTCAGGCTTACAATTAAATGCGTAAAAAAATGTAAGATTTATCTTGCAGGTTTTACATTACAAATTTACATATACACACACATATATACACACATATACATATATACATACATACACGTATATACATACATACATACACACACGTATATACATATACATACATATATATACACATATACATATATACAGTATATGTACATATATATATACAGTATAACTACATATATGTATTTATTTCCCCCAGAAAAGTGCACCACAAGCATATATTACTGATATTTTCAATTATTTAGTAAATATTAAAAAAGCAAACAAACACAACACTCCACTTTCGACAAATGTCTAAAGCCTAAAATATATATATATATTATATATATATATATTTTTTTTTTAAGAAACACATCCATGGTGTTTTGACATGTTGACAGCCAACACACCAGCCATGGCACCAGCAGCCACACTCCTTGTTGTGGTTACTGGGACATCAAAAACAGGCACGTGCAGTGTTCAGCAAAGCCGACCACACATGTACCACGTGGAACGAGCGTGTATACGGAGCTCTTAAGCCGTTTTGTCTCCCAGAGAGGGGGAAAAACACAAAACATGGCGACCGGGGTTGTTACAGGTTCACTTTGCAGAAACCACAATCTCATTTGTCAATCAAATGTCAGGACGGCAGCCTGCAGAGTCGGTGCTCTTACGGAGAAGAGCTGACAGGTACTGAAATATCACATGTAATAATGCCCAAAGGTGTGTCCTCGATAACCATTCTGGTTTGCATTTCCATTTCATGCATGAATGTCAATTGTGCTGCATTGATATTAAGCTTCAACCCTTGAGCCTTGAAAATGAACTGAAAATGAAGACTGCACTGAGTTATGTAATCAGCCGCAGCTTCTCAAAGACCCAAAATGCACTGGAAACTAGTTGACAGCTCAAGGGGTTTGCAATAACTCGACTGTTGTCATGAAAGTAAAGATGACTCGAAAATAATAATAATTTATATCACTGGTTGCGTTCATGGCCTACTGTGTTTCCCAGCGGGGAGATTTGTGTCTCCCTTATGGTGCGTTACGATTATGACATTCATGTCAAACTGCTATAAATCCCGTGGGAATCGTCAGCATATCGTTTCTGAGACGTCAAAAATGTACGACGGTACATTTAAGTTTAGTCTAAGGTCAATGACAAGTTGCAGGATGCCGTGCGCTCGAAGCATCACGTAACTGTCGCGGATGCTGCATGCGTGTGTGCGAGTGAGATGCGTCCAGTAACGTTTCGCTCAGGTGCGGGTCTGCCGCAGATACCTTTGGCCGGCATCGCTTCCAAAGGACTCCACGGTCCGGAGAGGACTGGACGGGTTGACCCAGGTAGGCTCTGGGGGTTTCTGCACATCGGTTTTCACGTCGGGGTCGATCTCCGAAGGCGAGGGCGTCAGCTTTGCGCCCGCCATGGTTCCCTTGCACGTAGGGTGCGAAAGCTCCAGCAACGCGCGGCCAATCTGGTTCCTTCCACCGGAGTGATCAGCAGCAGCAGAAGCAGCAGCGCGGGATCAAAGAAACGGAGAGACCGGCGCTGACTGAAAACCGCATCGCCTGCTGCTGCTGCGTTAAGAGGAGCAGAGAGAGAGTGAGAGAGGCTTCATCTCTGCTGCAGCATCACATCACTGAGTGCTCAGGCTCCTGGTCATTGGACTCCATCCTTGATGGAGATGCGAGTTCCCCGAGCGCCTCCGAGAATCGTCACGCCGTAACGTCAAGCGGAGGAGCCAACCCAACCTTCTCCACGGCACGGATTACATAAATGACCACAGTCAAGTTATTGATTAAAGAACACAACCTCCCAGTCAGCCTCCTCATTACTGACACGTTTATCTAAGTGAAAAAAAAAAAAAAAAAAAAAAAAAGAAGTATGGATCCAAGAGATGAAGGTAAAATTTGCTGATTCTTTTTTTATATTAAAAAAAATCCCTTGAGTATCAGTGGGCTTGAACATATATAGGTTTAGTCAAAAGATTCTAAGATTAATTAAAAAAAATCAGTTTAAAAATAGCATTTAAGGCACATGTTATATATATATATATATATATAATGTATATACATATATATATATATATATATATATATATATGTATATATATATGTATATATATTATGAGCAAACAAACAAATTCAAATTCTGGTTAGGATTATTAATTCAGATTAACCTCAGATTTTCAGCTGTGTTCCCAACAGTACATCCATTACATAAAGGTGTTTGTTGCTGCGGTCACTGAATGAAATGGATATGTACACAAGCAGAGCAAAATGTTTCAACAGTTTGCAATTTGTTTTGCAGGTTTCTGTTCAATTTTTTATTTTTTTAGTCCACAAAACATAATTTTACCATTATTCGATTTTAGTGGATACAGTTTTTTCTACACCTTTGAAAATCATGGTTGAAGAGTTCTGTTAGACAACTGGACTTGAATTTTCTAAAAGAAGACCTTAAGTGTTTTTAAATCAAGCTGCCAATTAAAAACTATATTATATATATGTGGTTTGGGTAACATTTTTTGATGAGGAAGTTTGACCAGACCAAGTAAAGGATAATATTTATACATACTTATACAGTATGTATATATACGTATATACATACATACGTATATACATATATACATATATATATAGAGAGAGAGAGGGAGAGAGAAAGAGAGAGAGAGAGAACACGTGTGTGTGTGCCAGGACACACAAACCTGTATAGGTTTAATTATAGGTATACAAACAACCTTATTTAATCCCAGCCTTTTAGGACAATGACAACCACAGACCACAGGGTGGAGGAGTGGTTGGTGGAGGGGGTGGGGTGGGGGTGGGGCATCTGGTCCACACACAATCACAATAAAGACAGTATTTTGCATAAACACCTGCAACAACTAAAGTACAGTGGGACGACAGTGACTTTCATTCAAGCTTTAAAGACGAGCTCAACAATATATGTTATATATATTGTCGTTCAATATATTACAACAGATGTTTTCTCTTCCACTCTTCTAATCTAAAAATTACTTCTGGCCAATCAATGTTGATTTAAACATTAGTTCACCTTACTCATCAATACAGCCTGTAAGGACCTTTATTCTGAAAGAACAGCCAATCACAAAGCCACAAAGGGCTCTTTGGTGCAACATGCCTGTTGTCATGGTGAACTCATATATCAGAGCATACAAAAGGGCATCTGCATATACAGGACCAGACAGGCGGGCACTAACATAACCTTATAAACTCAGCTACATATATACAGTATATCATGCCTCACTCAACTGTTATTTGTTCCTTTTGTTTTTTAAATGTCTGACTTTGAGATAAAAACACGTTTGCATTAGTGGTGTTCGTGGCAATTATCACTGCTGTTTCTGTCCTGTTTTACTGAACAAGACGTCAATAGCTCTCAAGACTCTGACCTAAGGTGGGTGAAGGGTCAGCTGCCCGCCTTCGAGGTAATTGTGAGCTTACGCTAGTGAGGAACGTAGAAAAGCAGAGAATAAGAACGGTGGAAAACGATGACATCTCTCAGGATTTAGGATCAGTTCAGTGCGTTTTACAGATGTTTTCGATTATACTCCTTACTACTTTTTCTGTAGAATATCATCATGATGTCACTGACCTGCTAACATTGACACTTTTTGCAATATGCAATATATCCAACCAAAACCACATAACTTACAATAGGAAATATATGGTAATATATGTTAAATATACACATGGATGCATACATATACAAAAACATAGACACACAAATATATACATAAATATATATGCACATATATGTATATATAAAAATGAGGGCTTGGAGACACATAGTGGCCAAGAAGTGAAGTGCAGATTGTGATTCATTTGCCAGTGCTATAAAACCCCACCGTGCAGGAGCCGTGTCTGATTTATTTCCTGCAGTTTATGTCACAGATGACAGTAGGTTTTTTGTCTTATGAGGTCACATTAACATAGTATTTTTAAAGAGAACGACTAAAACCATCAAAGAATAAACACACTTTCATCACCAGCAAGAGTTGCAGGGAAAAAATAAATTGAATGCCTGCAAGACCACAGTATGAGAACCACACTGTAGAGAAAACTAACTTAAATATTTCAGCGGGGAGAACAACCAGAGAGAGAGAGAGAGAGAGAGAGAGAGAGAGAGAGAGAGAGAGAGAGAGAGAGAGAGGGGGGGTTGAAGCAGAAATATGAGCAGAGGAAATAATTCCATGGTAGCTTGTGAATTATTTCACATCAAAACACTTGAGAAAAACCTTGTG